CCCATCGGGAACTGGCTCATTGAGCAGGAGCCCATTATTAGTTCGACTACTTACTGCCTGGAAAACGTGGAAATATGCGTCCATGCCGGCTGAGCAGCCAGGGATAGAGCGGATAGCTGTCACGTATGAGATGAGGAGCGGCCACGAATGGATGATGACCATGAGGCGGTGGATGTCCTGGATGGGGGCCGCCTGGAAATATACCCAGCGGATGGCCGGGCATCAGATGCGGTGGTGGCGGCGGGCCATGATGTGGCCCCGTTGGCACAGGCGGATGCTGAGGATGTTGTTGTTGTTGCTGCTGCTGCTGCTGCTGCTGTTGCTGGTGATGATGGTGCGCCAAGGCGGCGGCCATTTGGAACTGGGCGGCGAGAAAAGGTGGAGGCGGCGCCGCTGTGGGTCGAACGGGCGATGGAATGCCGGGCACCGTGCCCGTGGGTGAAGCGCTATCCGTGGAGCGTGGAGCACCAAGTAGCGTGAGATTTGTTGGAGCCGGCAGCGGAAGCGGACGTATGAGTCCGGGCAGCGTAATGGGTGCAGTGGGTGGTGCAACAGCAGGCGCAGCTGCAGGTGGAGATGGGGACCGGCTGGCCGGCGTGGGCGGGCTTCGTGAACGCTCATCCAAGGAGGCCCGTCGCCGGCAGTAAATGAAGCCGCGCGGTGTTCGCCTCTCAATAGAGGGCGATGTGGCGGCGATCACTGGGCTGTCGCCTCGTGGCGAGGCAATGACAGCCATGCGCTGCGGATGGGTCGACGTCTTCGCTGGCGCTGATGGCTCGGCGCCGACTATGGAGTCAATGCTGAAGGCCAGCTTTGGCTTGTTGCTGCTGTTGTTGTTGTTGTTGTTGTTGTTGTTGTTGCTGCTGTTGTTGGTGCTGGAAGAGCAATTGACACCGGTGGCCGAGGACGATGCTGAGGCGGACGGAGCTGTTGTGGAGCTAACGGACACCACAAAGGGATTCGTCGGCGCCATCGGCAGCATGTTGAACGTTTGACGACCGCACGTGACCATTTGGCGCGACGATGTTCAGAGATTCGATAGTTGGATAATGGAAAACACCGCACGAGGGTCAAACAATGCGCACAACAGATGGGTCAGTTGGATACACACGCACACGCACACGCACACACACTAGTGAACGCGTAAGCACATAAATAGATCAAGAGTTTGGTTTAATGCATCAGCGATTGGCATCCGTCGTTGACATTGATATACTGGAGCGCACTGGCGCTGCTGCTGCTGCTGGTGGTGGTGGTGGTGTTGGTGGTGCTGCTGAAGCGTGGCCGTCGCACTTCACTGGCGAATTGACAGCGGTGGCTACGGCAGCCGCGTTGACAACGTCCATTGATTGCGGTCGTCGCGTTGATGAGCACTGTCAACGCCATTAGCATTATGCGAGAGCAGCTAAAGGCGGCTAATTGCCGGCGGAGCGAGCTGTATGTGCGCCGCTGCCCGCTCTTGGGTGGGGTGGGGGCGTCGGCGATTTGGAGTCTCGTGAAAATCGCTTCTCAGTGCGTTACGTCGCGTGGCGGTTGCCGCAAAACGCGCGCGCGAATGTCTGCCACAAAATCACGAAATCAAACTGGCTGTCGCTTCATTTTTTTCCGGGCTGGCACTGGCATTCCAACGGAGCTGCGGATTTGCTGCGCCCTGTTGTTGTCTCGCTCGCCCCCAATGCGCGTGGCGCATGCGCCAAAGCAGCGCAGATAAATGAAGTGCTCAAACCAGCTCCCAGCACACTATGCGTGTGTGTGTGTGTGTGCGTATGTGTGTGAGTTTGAGTGTGTGTGTGTGTCGCTGTGTTGTGACCACTCGTCAGTCTGGTCCACATTTGGCGCTCTCTCGCTTTCGCTCTCTCTCTCTCTCTCTCTCTCTCTCTCTCTCTCTCTCTCGCTGCCTGACTCTTGTGCTCGCGCTCTCGCTCTGGGCTTGGCTCTCACCGCGGGGCAGCGCTTGGCCATTTTTCGCACCAGTTTATGACAGCGAAACAAACAATTTGCGCTAAACAAAACAGCATCATTAAAGCGTTTGTGGTTTTAGTGCCCAACTAGCTGCTGGCAGAGAGAACTCTGCTGCCCGTAATGCGGGGCGTACTTCGAAAATGGGCAGTCAGCGTTTATTGGCACAGTGGTTGCTGAGTGCGTGAGAAACTGTGAATCTCGAGCGAATTGGTCTTGGAATGAAACCATCCAAGTCGGTATGCATTGATGTCTACTATTAATTACATTTAAAGGGACATTACTATATTGACCACGCGAATATATAGATTTGTTTACTAATGTAATAATATCTCAGCACAGACGTAGAGAAGAAATTATAGTAAAAGAAAAAAATCAAATTTCCTATATTTATTTATAAATCATGAAAAGAAAGCTAACAAAATTTAGTTTATATTCAAGTAAAAGCAAAGAAAAATAAATTAATAAAAAATAAAAGGAACAGAAAAAGTACATATGAAAAAGAAAACAAATTAAAAATGTAATTTATTAAAAATTTAATTTTTATTATTTTAAATAAATTTTTCGATACTAAATAAAAATGTATTAAAATAATGTATTGCTAATTTAAATACGTTGAATGATAATAATTTCATTTTCACTTGAAGCGGATTCCGATTAGT